TTTCCATCACCTACCTGTGGGAAAGACTGGGTCAGTCTTCCAGAGCTCACAGTGTCCATAACTGCAGTATTGAATGCTGAGGCTTATGTAAACTTAATCAGTGAAAAATAGCAACACACCATTTTTGTATACCTGTCTGAAATACCCTCACCTGGAAATTATCCCATCCCAATTTCTCAGCAGTAAGAGATCTTTTTTGAAGCCCTGAATCAAAACATTCTAGTGAGAGTTGTGACTTTGTAAGTCAGGCTGCCAGGGTTTGACTGGAGTCCCCCACTTAACTAATTGTGTGAACTCTGACCAACTTCAAATCTCCCTAAGTCTGTGTTCTCAAACTTTTTGGTCTCATTACTTATACACACTTAAAATAATTGAGGACTGCAGTTATGCTTATGTTTATTATGCCTATCAACTTTGCTTGTGTTAAGTTTTGTTTATAATTGTTAATTTGTTAAAAAGAACAAAAAACCGCTAATAAGTTAACAAATAATTTTTTTATTATTTTCCATATAAAGAATCATTAAGTGAGAAGCATAACTTTGTTTCACCTTTTTGCAAATATCATTCATATCTGGCTTAACAAAATATAGCGGGATACTCAATCTGCTTCTGGCTTCTCATTGTATTAATTAAAGAAAATGTAGCCTCATGCTAATAGGTAATTGGGGAAGAGGAGGATTTTAACATTCAGGCAGTTGTAAATACTTTTCTTTGAACCTCCACAAAAATTCAGCAAGTGGAAGCCTCCTTCAGGTTAACTGTAACATGTCCTCTAATGCAATGTCAAATAACTTTTTGTACTCTTATACGAAAATCTGTTTTAATGAAAATTATCCTTTGAATATTATCTTGTGAGTCCATCTTAATTTATTACTTTTGTAATATCATTCATTGGTGATTTAGAAATATTACTACAATGATCTTCCAAATAACACATTTAGCATTATCATTTCAGAAGTATACATTAATTAATAATCTCACCAATCTCATCACAAAAGTCTTCGGAAGCTGTCAAGCTCGTGGTAGTGAATACAAGTTTTCCAAATTTCTAATTTTCACTTGAAAGTTAAAATTTTATCTTTGGCAACAAAAGCTTTCATGAAATGATAGCTTCACTTTGCTCATCTTCAAGAAAATCAAATACCCAAGTTTTAAGCCATCCTAGTTTGTCTGTCTCTGGGATTGCAGCTTCTTGCCACTAGGCCACCAGAGCTCTCCAGAGAGTTGGACAATGACTAGGGAGGACAGAAGGAGAATTGATGCCTTTGAGCTGTGGTGCTGGAGAAGAGTATTGAATGTACCCTGGACTGCCAAGAAAACAAACAGATTCATCCTGGAGAGGGTTAAACCAGTCTGCTCCTTGGAGGCAAGGATTCTGGGGCTTCGTCTGACATACTTTGGATATGTTGTAAGGAGGGACAGGTCCTTGGAGAGGGACATCATGCTTGGGAGGGTGGAGGGACAGCGCAGGAGGGGAAGACCCTCTATGAGGTGGATTGATTCAGTGACTGGGGTAATCGAGATGGGTGTGTCAGAAGCAATGTGATTGGCACAGGATAGAGCAGGGTTTAGGACTGTTGTACATAGGGTCGCTATGAGTCACAAACAACTCGACAGCACATAACAACAACAACAACAACAACAACAAGTTTGTCTGTTATCCTATGCTGTTTGGGGGGGGGTGGGATACCAACCAAACAGCTAGTTTAGCTCAAATTCAAATGTTTTGCCTCAATTACTTTATTACTGTAACTTTAGTATCAGCAGAAGCACTTTCTGTGTTTTCTACTTCATGGCACAGAATGTTGAAAAAGGTATATACCATTCGATACCACTCGCCAAGCTGCTGGAAATTTTACTCACTATTGCTTTTTTTTTTTAGAACAAAGTTAAAGTCTTTTATTATGGGGTAAGTACTAGATGTTACTTAACAACAGCAATATATATTGCAAAACCTTGTCTTCCATTTTGGACTTTCATTGGCTCGAATTTGTATGACGGCTCTCTTGTTTTGGTTTAGGGTCATTGTGGAATGTTTGGGGTTTTTGGTGTTTTTTTTTAAAATTTTGTTTTGTTTTTGTTGTTTCTTTTTTTCTGTTTGAGGGGTTGTTTTTGTTGTTGTTGTTATAATTTTTTTAAATTATTATTAAATTTTATTAGTTTTAATGATCACTATTGCTTTTCTATCATAATGTTTACATAATGGCATTTTCATTACTATTTCATCACTATTACCTGAAAAGATGTTGACACTGAAAGGGTCTTAGGAACCTGAGGAGTTTCTCTATGAAGTGCCCTGGTGTGCTAACAGCACCTACTTCATTTGGCTGTTTAGGGGAATGAGAGAGTAAGGTGTAAGGAGCAGTTCCTACCACATTTGTTGTTGTTATGTGCCATCAAATTGCCTGGGACTCATGTGAAACCTAGACCTAGACCAAGAGGTGGTTTAAAATCAAGAAAGGTGTGAGTCAGGGCTATATCCTTTCTCTGTGCCTATTCACTCTCCATGCTGAACAAATCTTACTTTATGTTGTTGTTAGGTGCTGTCAAGTAGAGTACAACTCATAGTGACCCTACAGCCAACAGACTTGAACCCTGTCCCATTCTGTGCCATCCTCATCAACCCTGACATACTTGAGCTCATTGCTGCTTAAGAATAAATCCATCTTGTTTGAGGGTCTTCCTCTCCTCTGACCCTTCACCTTTCTAAGCATGATGTCCCTTTCCAAGGAATAATATGCTCAAGTATGTGGGATGAAGTTCTATAATCCTTGCCTCTGAGGAGCATTCTGGTCACTTCCTCAAGATATATTTGTTTGTTCTTTTTACAGTCCACCAGATAAATATTCAGTACTCTTTTCCAACACCACAACTCAAAGACATCAATTTTTCTTTTGTCATCCTTATTCCTTATTCCAGCTCTCAGAGGCATAGAAAATGATTGAAAAGACTATGGCCTGAATCAGGCACACCTTAGTCTTTAAACAGACATCATTGTTCGTATTTTGAAGATGTCCTTTACTGAAGACTTTCCCAGTGCAATATGTCTTTTGATTTCTTGACAGCTAAGGATGTTGATTATGGATCCAAATAAGATGAAATAGTGGACAATTTAAATCTTTTCTCCAACTATTATGATGCTTCCTCTCAGCCCACTAGTGAGATCAAATGTTAATTATGATTAATGTTATGCTAAATGTAAGTTATGTGTGGGGAGAATGAAAGGCTAGAGAGAAGAGAACCAATATTTATTTAACACATTTCACATGACATTCATTGTTTTATGTGTCATGTTATTTAAACCACAAAGTAACTCTGAAAGGAAGTAAATATTTCATTTTGCAGATACAGAAATGTGTTTAAAGAGATTAAGACTTTTACTCAAAGTCACAGGCTGAAAAAAAAAAGTAGCAGATTTCTTGACTTCCCTTCACCAGACACAAGGAGTGTACAGGTTATATAACAGGACCAGATGCTGACCTGGAGATAAATCTCCCAAGTTTAAGGGTCCATCCCAAGCTTAAGGATAGCACAAAACTAGAACTACTGCCTTCTGACTGAATTTAAATTTAAATGGTCTATTTTTAGTATCATCATTTTCTCACTTGTCCTAAGAGAAAGTTCAAGAAGAGCCAATCTATTTTCTAAAACATCTGATCATGAACATAAAGGTATTGAATGACTAGTGTTAGCATTCTGGAACCCCAGAGTCAGTACACAAGTGGGGCCTTACTTCGTATGCAAGAGACTACATATTATCCGTCTTAAATCCAGAGGCTCTCAGCTGGACTGTATCTATCCTGTTGCCATCGAGTTTCCTATGTCTTATAGCAACCCTATGTGCAACAGCTCTGAAGCCTACCCTGTCCTGAGCCGGTCTCACTGACGCCGACACACCAACCCCCAATGCCTTAGTTACTATATCAGTCCATCTCATCTGAGGCCTTCCTCTCCTGTGCTGTCCTTTCACCATTCTGAGCATAATGTCTTTCTCCAAGGACAGATCCCTTCTTGGCCATGTGCCCAAAGTATGTGAGACAGAGCTTCAAAATCCTAGCCTCCAAGGGAAAACTTGGTTTTACCCTCTCCAAGACAGACTTGTTTTCTTGGTGGTCCATGGTACATTCAAGATTCTTCTCCAGCATCACAACTTAAAGAGATCAATTCTTCTTCTGTCATCCTTAGTCATTGTCTAGTTATCTGATGCATGGCAAGTAATTGTGAAGACCATGGCCTAGTGTCACTGATATATTAAAATAAAAAAATCAAAAGAGGAAGACAATGAAGTATGGGTAATTATTGGTGCAAACAAACCACAGTTCACACTCCAAATGGGTTATTTCCCTTTGCAAACCAGACCTCTTAGGAGTAAGCCTGCTGTCACTCAAAATGGACATGGAAACTCTCGTTCAGAAATACATTTTCATCGTGCAAACTTAGGTTCAAGTTTTAGAAACAGGCATCCTGCTGCCAATGTGCCTAATCTCTAGATGAAGCAAAAGGCAGAAGTTATGAACTCTTAACCTACAGACTTTTAAGTAACAAAATTTACGCACATCTAAACTGAAACACTGAAGGGCACCTATTAGCTCTGTTCCACAGAACTAGAATCTAAAAGTTTAAGACACACTTTAGTAGCCCCATTCATTGTCAGAACAGCAGAACTGTGGGCCTTACCAATTCCAAAGAGTTTCATTCCTTTCCAAACTTAAGGCAAAAGGTTACCTAGCTACTAACAGAACTGGAACCCAAATCTGGCTAAAATTTAGCTTGGAAAAATTTTTGTCCTATATGGCAACCATTACTGCCCTAAGGGATTCAGAACTCAGAAGACAGAGGGGGACGGGTAAATGGAGTCTACTGGCCTTACCATGAGTGACTCTGGCTCAGAGCACATGCACATCACAGGAACAAAGAAAGAGTTAGTAAGAAAGCAACAAAGCTTAGCCCAGCACGCCGGCACAAACCCCTCGGAGGCCAGAGGAAGTTGATGGAGCTGTTTAGTTTTCGCAGTGCTGCGGCCTAACACAGGCTTTCTTTCCCCACAGAGATTCTGGAAAGAAGATGTAGGAGATGGACCACATCAGGCAATATAAAGGAGTCAGAGAGAATGGAGACAAAACCAGCATGATGATACCTGGAAGAAGAAGACATGCAAACACTCAATTTTTAGGAAACTTTCTTAATGTGCATTTTCCATCCTCCCCACATTGTTCCATATTATTCCTTCCCCCTTCCACTTCCTTTTTAACTGACAGTGCCCAGGACACAAAAGCAAATGAGACATGAGTCTTTAAATAAGCTCTGATTAAAATGGTTAAAGTGCTCACTGTTAAAAAGTTAGTGGTTAAAGTCCCTCCAGAAGTACCTTGGAAGAAAGGTCTGGTAATTTACTTCTGAAAATCAACCATTGCAAACTCTGTGGACATAATTGTACTCTGATATACACAGTGTTGCCATAATTGAATAATCTCAATGCTAACTGGCTGGCAAGTAAATAGTTAAAATCTAATCTCAGTTTCTACTTAGTTGTAAAACTTGACTCAGAAATCAGTGCTAATAAAAAAATAAGTTGGAATTGTCTAGACCCCTTTACTAGGAGGGAAAAACCCCAAATAACCCACCTCCCCAATTGTTTTGAGTTTAACGTGTGTTAAAAGCTATCTGATATCATCTGTTACACAATAGAGTTAACATGAGAGGCCTGAGACTGCAATCCTTAAAAAGACCTGTGTGGCCCTTGCTGGAAACCAGCCACTTGCATGGTAAACAATTCTCTACAATAATACCAAATTTTTCATAACTGATAAAAGTAGCTCACTGGGCCTAGACTGTACCAACACAGTAGTGTATGCTAGACCTGATTTCATTGTGGGAGTCTAGGAATTCCACACATGCTAGATGGAGGGTGTCTGTGTGAACTGTCCTCAGTGAAAGCCTGTAGGAGCCTTGGGTGTCTGGTGAGCTTCCCTGGTAGACAACACCTCACAATCCAGTGCTGGAGGAATTACACTCACTCTCTCTGGCTTCCCTGGAAGAGGTCATTTGAAAGCACATGTCCAGTTTCCTCTGAACTTTGTCCCCATGATCCTTTGGTAGTTCTGCTGTGTACTCTGCCTCTGCCATTCATCTTAGCCATGAGAACAACTGTATGCTAAGTCCTGTGAATCCTCCCACCAAATTACCACAACTGGAGTCGGAGGACACTACACACAAACTAAGCTGGTTTCCTCACCAAAAGACAAAAGGGCATCACCATTTAGAGATTATCTTGTGCCACATATTCTGCTAGTTATTTGACATGTATTATTTGATCTTTTCATTTACATTTCATGGCAGTTGTGTGATTTAGATTATCCAGATATTTTTCAGATGAGGAAACAGGGGATGTAATCTGCACAAGTTCCATGCTTCAGACACATGTGTCTTCTTGGCTCTTATAAACAAAACAGTTGCATTCCCTCAAAGAGCTCACAAAAGGTGGGGGAGTATGGACCCAGAGTGTTTCCATCAGAACAACTCTTCACAAATATCTATTATTAATGATCATATATGATTGACACAGTTCTAGAAACTAGGGATTACAGTATGGATTAGAGAGTCCTTTTCCCTCACAAAACTTCTATGATGGACTTAGTGTTTATAGACAGTAAGATCTGATGTTGTTGTTGTTGTGTACCACAGAGTTGGAACCAATGCATAGTTGACCCTCCAGCAGGTTTTCAGAGGCAGTTAATCACATGGGAGGAGATTGCCCATCTGTCTCCCACGAAGCATCTGGTGGATTCGAACTGCATGCCTTCAAAATTGCAGTACAATTTCTTGCCACTAGGCCACCAGAGTTAGTACTATATATTTTGTCAGATGATAATAAAGTCAACGTAAGTAGAGTTAGGGAGCAGTAGTGTTGGAGTGAGGCATGAGGTGGTGCTGATGGCGATTATAGTAAACCCACCACTGGTAACATTTGAGAGCAGTATTTTCACTCACCCCCTAAGTAAACCATTTTTTTCCAGTTTTCAGACTCCAAGATTTCTTCATGGGGATAGTAGGTTTGGTCTATCATGAACAGAACCATGAGCAAGGCCACACAGCAAAGAATGAATGTGTTGCCTTTGGTCAGAAGGGAAGTGGATGCCAAAACACAAGACGCGTAGGCACTGGGTAGACCTTTATATATGAAGGGAACTCCTGCCAGGGAAACATTCAGAAGAATTAGCCACTTTTAAAATAAAACAACAAATCAAACATGTTGCTGTGCTCTGCAGCTACATGTGGTACAGAGTAGAAATCAGCCCATGGGACAGGGAAGAAGGTAGGAAGAGGGGTCCCAAAAAGGAAAGAGGAGTCAGCCTCTGCACCCCAGCTTCTGGCATCCAACACTCCCCCACCTTGGGTTCCCTGCCCTCAGCCCCCAGGCTGCCAGGGCTGCACTCACCAGTTGTAAAAAAGCACAGGCGGAAAGAAGTGGTTAACACATACATGATGGCCAGGAGCCCACTGAGTGGCCCTTCCATACCGAGGAGCAGGGCGGAGGCCAGGCCAAACGTGGTGAAGACAGCAAAGTCGTTCAGTTCGGCTCCTGCTCCAGAAGGCCCAAGGTTAGAAAATACCTCACACTTCACCTCCTATGCTAGGGATGGCGGGGCTGGAGCAGTGAGGGGAACAAGGCAGGTTCCAAGGTTCAAATAACAACAGCTGTTTACCCGTCTCAAATGTAACTCACCACACAGACAAGCCTTTCCCTCTTTCTATCATATTATCCTATTTCTTACCATGAAAGGATTGGCTCAAAACTATTAATAAATCAACTATGAACACCACCCTCCTTTTTGTTGTTTGGGGTCTTTTCTAAAATAAAATCTAACAACAATACATTCTTCCTGTTTTTATGTGCACTTGCGACTCATAGCGATCCTATGTACAACAGCTCTGAAACCTGCTCTATCCTGTGCCAACTTTACTGTCTCTGACACACCTACCCTCATTACCCCAGTCACTGTATCAATCCACCTCATTGATGGTCTCTTTCCCCATCCCTCCCACCCTTCCGAGCATAATGACCCTCTCCAAGGATCAGTCCCTCCTTGTAACATACCCAAAAGATGTCAAACAAAGCCTCAGAACCCTTGCCTCCAAGGAGCAGACTGACTTCATCCTCTCCAGGAGGAACCTGTTTGTTCTCTTAGCAGTCCATGGCATATTCAATAGTCTTCTCCAGCACCACGGCTCAAAGGCATCAATTCTCTCACCCTGAGTCATTGTCCAGTACACCACCACAGAAATATTTAAACACAGTTGCTCTCTTCAGGGGCTCTAGTGGCATCCTCAGTGCTGCAGTCCAAGGGCTTGTGTTTGGAATCCACCAGAGTAGGATGGGCAATCACCTTCCATGTGTTTTACCACCTCAGAAAACCCACTGGGGAGTCATCTATGGGTCGGTTCCAACAAGTGACCTCCTCAGTAGGGAGTTGTGCTGCCAGCCCAGAGGCAAACAGTTCAAATCCACCAAATGCTCCTCAGTGGGAAGATAGACAATCACCTCTCATGTGTTTTACAGCTTCTGTAAAAGTTGCTGGGAGGTCAGCTATGAGTTGATTCTGACTCAAAAGCAATGAGGGTTGGGCTTCTGTTGAGCTGTCTTTAGAGTAAGTTTCCCATCTTTCTACTCCCTAGCCATTCTGACCTCCCTTCAGCCAGCACCAGGGTCAGCTTTGAGCAGAGAAGCAAAGCAGATAAGGAGGCATAAGAGCCAGGACAGGAACTGGTCTAAGATCATGAGGCGAAACAGCAGAGGAGCTAGATCTAGACTGAGGGTTGATCTTCCTAACTCCTGCTGCCCTCAAAGTCATGTGACAGCAGTGATATTGAAGAATGGAGCTGCCTTGAGACGGATGCTCCAGGGGCAGGGACAGGGCCTGAAGCCTGGACTTACCTAGTTTGGAGCAGGGATTAAGGTGCCTGGTCATTGTCCCGATGGCCAGGTCTAACAGGAAGCTGATGAGGAGCAGCCAGGAGGCCCAGTGGGATTTCCTAGAATGCAGAGAGCCCCTTCAGGGCCATTAGTGGTCAAGCCCTTCACGTCAGCAATATGCTAACACTTCTTACCAACTTCAGACATTTGCTCACATCCACACAGGTCCCTGCACATCCTCCACACTTATACCCATTCTGACACACATACTGCCTTTCACACACACAACCTTTCACAAACACACCCTTCCGCATGCCTACACCCCTCCAACACTCTCAGCCCATAGCCTTGAAGGCATCCTGTCATAAACACACCCTTCCACATGCCTACACCCCTCCAACACTCTCAGCCCATAGCCTTGAAGGCATCCTGTGAACTCCTTAGGTGATCACTAAGGTGATTCTAGCTCTAAAGTCCAGGCATATTCCATGGGGCAGGGGGCCTGGGTCTGGTCCAGCCTCTGTCACCATCAGTGAATTTTCCCTCTAGGCTTCTGTTCTCCATATGTAAAATGGGGGACAAGGGCATGAAATGATTTATAAAGTTTCTTCCAGACCCCACTTTTGAGGATTCTTTGTCTTCGGTCAACCCTTGCACCCAGATCCCTCTTTGGTGGCTACCATAGTGTCAGGCAAACACCAGAAGGCCTCTTTCCGGCTCCACTCCCAGACTACCATTCAGTTCAGCAGAAGTATCCACAAAGCCAGACCCTAAACCCAACAGTCCCCAGACAACCACAGTGTTTAGACTCAGGCCTATAGATCTAAAGGAAAGTGAGGCTAAACTAACATACTGGACTCAGAACAATGAGATCAAACCTGCCCAGAAAAATATGCTAAACTAAGAAAAATACATTTTCCTGCCACAGACAGACACATTTCTAGCTGAAGGAGAGCTGAAATGCCATCAAGTCAAAGACCTGTTTTTAGGGATGAACATCAGATCCAGAGGGAAGGTACTAGCTGAGCTGCAGAAAACATTTAGGAGCATATAATTTGCATTTGAAGGGTTTGTCTCTAACGAGTTGATTTTGCAAAGACATTGAAATATTGACTCAATTTACAAGGATCTAACTCACAATTTTGGAGGACTAAGACTCATAGCAACCCTATGGGGAAAAAAGGCCTGAAGCTTTTCTATAATTATCATCATTTATCAAAGTTCATAGAGTCTCCAGAGGCATGTTGTTTAGGAAGTGGATGCCACTTATATATAAGATTTTGTAGAACATGCTCATTTCACATATCCTGCCAAGACCACCTGCTAATTTAAGATTCAGAAAATATGAATAGTTGCCTACCTTACAAAAGAGTTGAAGCCAATGAAACAGAAATTCTTTATTTTCTCATAAAAACTATTCTCAACTGTTAGAACTGAAAAGACTTATAGAAATCATCAGTAAGCCCTTCATTTTCTGTCAGTCCTTCATTTTAGAGAAACCAAGGCCTAAGAAGCTGATATGACTGAACCAAGGTCACATATCAGGTTAGCGGTAGAACTGAGGCAAGGTTCAAGACCCCTTGACTCCCAACCCAGTGAGCTTTCCCATGACCCCCTTGGCTTAAGTGCCTGACTCTCTAATCCCCCCATCCTTCCTCATGCCACTGGCTCCAGCCTGTTGGGCCCCTGCTACCTGTAGAAGCTGCAGAAGATGGAGAAGATCCCCAGGACCATATTGACAAGGGACAAGGCATTGGCGATATCTTTGCAGGAAGATTCATCCAGCTGGTAGCATCTCTGGACATGGGCAAGAAAGAAGTTGGTGGAATGATTCAGACCTGGGGCCCAGGGAAGAGGTCAAGGGATTCCCAACTTCAAGTAATCCCAAAAGCATTGCCCAGGGGACCTAATAGCTCCCTTTCTTTCAAACTTCACCACAGAGCTTAGACCTTTCAAGACTCTCTTTAACCTACTGGACTATGGTGGGCAGGAGGTAGATGGAGAGATCCAGACCCAGGAAGTGGAAACAAAGTGACTGAGGTCTGGTGAAAGCTCAGTAGCAAAGTAGGTGACACAACACAACCAGTTTCCACTTCTTCTCTGTCTGTACCCCTTGTCCCATGGAACAGACCTCCCCCCAGCCCTATGTGGACATAAGGGGCAAATGATAGCTAGTTCTGGGTTCTTCTACATCTGAGAGATGAGCTCTTTGTTACAGACTAAGAACAGAGTGGAGAAAGAAGTAGTCAGGTAGTCACTTTCTCCTACAGTCTGAACTCTCTACTTGAGGAGTAACTGAAGTCTCCTAGGATCCTGGCCCTTCCAGACACCTCTATTTTGGCTACTAACATAGAAGGGTCTGAGATAGTCAACACAGAGTGGTCTGGGACCTCAGCTGAGATTCCCCAGGGTCCTGGCCCTGCCAGGCCCCAATTAGGACAGTAGGTCAGCCCCCAACAAGGGAAACATGTAAGTTTTTCAAATGAGCATGCACAGTGTTCAAGAGTTCACAAGCCACTTCTGTATTCTGTCTTCTGACCAAATGGCCTTGGGAGGTGGTGCTGTATCTGTCCGCATTTTATGAGTAAGGAAACTGAGGTCCAGGAAAATGGGAGATCCTCGTTCAAAGACCTACACAAGGTGAGTTAGTCCAAAGCCAGTCTCTTAATTTTAAATATGATGTCTCTTCTTCTGTAAGCCTAGATATCGGCAGGTGTGGGTGTGTAGCCAGGAGCAGGGGGATAACAGCTATTGTTTCTACCCTTCCAAGCATCATGTCCCTCTCCAAGGAATAGCCGCTTCCTAGCAACAGACCCTAACTATGTGAGGTAAAGCTTTAACACCTTTGTCTCCAAAGAGTACTCTGGCTGCACTTACTCGAAGACATAATTGTTTGTTCTTTTGACCATCCATGGGATTTTCAGTGCTCTTCTCCAACACCACAGGTCAAAGGCATCAATTCATCTTCTGTCATCCTTTATTCACTGCCCAGCTCTCACATGCATAGCAAATGATTGGAAAGACCATGGCCAGAATTGGATGCATCTTAGTTGTCAAACTGACATTATTAGTCCTCAATAATTTGGAGAGGTCCTTGATTGAAGATTTTCCCTGTACAATGTGTCTTCTGATTTCATGATGGCTGGTACCGAGAGTGTTGATTATGGATCTAAGTCAGATGAGGTTGTTGACAATTTCAATCTTTTCTCCATTTATCATAATGTTGCTTATTGGTCCCGTGGTAAGAATTTTTGTCTTCTTGACATTGAGATTTAATCCATATTTAAGGCTCTGCTACAAGTGTTCCAAGTCTTCCTCACTTTTAGCTAGCAAAGTTGTATCATCTGCATAAAACAGATTATTGATGAATCTTCATCTGATCTTCATGCCACATTCTTCTTCATAGAGTCTAGCTTCTTGAATTATTTGCTCAGCATATAGATTAAATAGGTATGGAGAGCAAATACAACCTCGGTACACTCCCTTCTTCATTTTAAACTATTCAAAATCAGCAAGGGAGTCCATCAAGGATGTGTCCTGTCTCCATACCTTTTCAATTTATATGCAAAACAGAAAATTGAAGAGGCTGGGCTTTATGAGGAGGAATGTGGTATCAAGATTGGAGGAAGACTCATAACCTACTTTATGCAGATGACACAACTTTGCTTGCTGAAACTGAGGAGGACCTTAAGTGTTTTCTGCAGAAGGTCAAGAACTATAGTCTTTTATATAGATTGAAACTCAGCATCAAGATGACAAAGATTCTCACCACTGGGCCAACTGGCAGCATCATGATAGAGAAGAGATTGAGGTTGTTAACAGTTACAGCTTGTTCGGCTCCACAATCAACACCAGCAGTCAGGAAATCAAAAGACAAATTGCATTAGGTAAATCTGCTGTCAAGAATCTTTCCAGAGTGAGAAGCAACAATGTCAATCTTGAGACTAAGGTGCACCTAATCCAGTCCATGGTCTTCACAATTACTTGCCATGTATCAGAGAGCTGGACAATGACTAAGGATAATAGAAGAATTGATGCCTTTGAGTTGTGGAGCTGGAGAAGAGTCTTGAACATACCATGGACTGCCAAGAAAACAAATAGGTCTTGGAGAAAGTGAAACCAAGTTTCTCTTGGAGACTAGGATTTCGAAGCTCTGTCTCACATACTTTGGGCATGTGGCCAGGAAGAATTGATCCTTAGAGAAGTACATTGTGCTCAGAAGGGTGGAGGGACAGCACAACGGAGGAAGATCCTGAATGAGATGGATTGATACAGTAACTGGGACAACGGGAGTAGGTATATCAGAATCAGTAAGACTGGCTCAGGGCAGGGCAGGCTTCAGAGCTATTGTACATAGGGTTGCTATGAGTCAAAGGCAACTTGACGGCACATAACAACAACAACCATGTTCTCTTGCTCTGTTTGCACAATAGCCTCTTGGTCTGGGTATAGGTTTCGTATGAGCACAATTAAGTGCTCTGGGATTCTCATTCTTCTCAATGTTAGCCATAGCTTATTATGATCCACACAAATGCCTTTGCTTAGTCAATAAAGTATAAATAGACATTCTTCTGGTATTCTTTATTTTTAGCCAGGATTAACTTGACATCAGCAATGCTATCCCTGTTTGATAGGCTCCTCTAAATCCTGTTTGAACTTCTGTTCCCAATGTACCATTCTAATCATTTCTGAGTGATCTTCAGCAGTATTTTGCTTGCATGTGATATTAATGATACTGTTTGATAATTTCCATATTCTGTTGGATCACCTTTCTTGGAAGTGGGAACAAATATAAACCTCTTACAATCTGTTGGTCAGACAACTGTGTTCCAAATTTCTTGGCATAGACTAGTGAGTGCGTCGAGGGCTGAATCTGTTAGTCAAAATAAGTCAATTTGTATCCTATAGGTTCCTTGGGCCTTATTTTTTGCCAAGGCTTTCAGTGCCATTTCTACTTCTTCCTTCATTACCATTGGTTCCTGTGCATATGGTTGTTGTTGTTAGGTGCCATCGAGTCGTAGACGACTTATAGTGACCCTATGAACGAAAGGTCTGAGCACTGTTCATACATAGTTTCTGGAGGCAAGCCATTTCGGAAGTGGATGCCGCTCCTGCTTCCAGGCTTGTTTTAGTCGGGAAGCTCCAGCCAACACTGTCCACCATTACCACAATTGGCACATCACTGTCACAGTGTTCAGCATCACAGCAACCATGAGTTACCTCTGTACAGCAACACATAGATCAGTGCTATACCACCTAGAAGAATGTTTGACAGGAAAACAATTTGAACCCGGCCGAGGGCCGCAGATTAAAATCACCCACCTTCGGCTTGGTAGCATAACTTTCTTTCCACTAGGTCACCGTAGCTCTCTCTCATGCATATGGTTCTTCCTGAAATTTTTCAGTGTCAATCAGTTCCTTTTGGTACAGTGACTCTGTGTATTCCCTCCATATTCTTTTGATGCTTCCTGGGTCATTCAATATATTGTCCGCAGCATCTTTCAATATTGCAACTAAAGGCTTAAATTTGGTTTTCAGTTCTCTCAGCTTGAGAGATGCAGAGCGAGTTCTTTCCTCTTTATTCTCCAATTTTGGCTCTCTGTACATTCCATTATAATACTTCACTTTGTCTTTTCAGTTGCCCTCTGAAATCTTCTGATCAGCTCTTTTACTTCAGCATGTTTCCCCTTTGTTTTGGCTTCTCAACACTCCAGTGCAATTTTCAGAGTCTCTTCTGACATCCATTTCAATTTTTTCTTTCTCCTCTGACTCTATAATGACCTTTTACTCTCTTCATGGATAATATCCTTGATGTCATTCCACAATTTATCTGGTCTTTGATCATTGGTGTTCAATACTTCAAACTATTCTTCAGATTATTTTGAAATTCAGATGAAATAGATTCAAGATTACATTTTGGTTCTAATGGACTAGTTTTACTTTTTTTTTCAGTTCTATTCTCAAAGGTTGTTATTATTGTGGTTGTGTGCTGTTGAGTCACCTGTGACTCATAATAACCCTATGGACAATAGCTCTGAACCCTGCCCTATCCTGAGCCAATCTCATTGTCTCTAATACCCTAATCACATTATTTCAGTCATTGAGTCAATCCATCTCATCGAGGGTCTTCCTCTCCTTCATCTTTACAAGCACGATGTCCATTTCCCAAAGACTGGTCCCTCCTGGCCACATGCCCAAAGCAAGCAAGACAGAGCTTCAAAATCCTTGCTTCCAAAGTTAGTATCTTGTTTTCACTCTCTGATGGACAGACCTTTTTGTTCTCTTGGCACTCCATGTTCAATACACTTCTCAAACACCACAACTCAAAGGTGTCGACTCTTTAATCATCTTTAGTTATTGTTCAGCTCTCTGATATATAGCAAGCAATTGCGAAGACCATGGCCTAGATAAGACACATCTTAGTCTCCAGACTGACATCGTTGCTCTTCAGTAGTCTAGAGAGGTCCCTGACAGCAGATTTTCCCAATGCAATTCATCTTTTGCTGGTGCCAAGAGTGTTGATTGTGGAAATAAGCAAGCTGTAATTTTCAACAATCTCAATTTCTTCTCCATCTATCCAGATGCTGCCAACTGGCCCAGTGGTGACAATCTTTGTTTTCTTGAGCTTCAATCTATATTGAAGACTATAATCCTTGGCCTTCTACAGCAAATGCTTCAGGTCCTCCTCAGTTTCAACAAGTGAGGTTGTGTCATCTGCATAACACAGACATTGATAGGTCTTCCTCTAATTCTGATGCCACATTCCTCCTCATAGAGCCTAGCCTCTTGGATGATCTGTGCAACATATAGATTGTAAAGGTACGAAGACAGAATGCCTCCCTAATGTACACCTTTGCTGATTTTGAACTATGCAGTGTTTCCTTCCTTTGTTCTGACAATTGCCTCCTGGTGCAAGTATAGGTTTCGAATGAGAACAATTACGTGTTCTTAGATACCCATCTTTCTCAAGGTTAGCCACAGTTTGTTGTGATTCACATAGTCAAGGCCTCTGCATAGTCAATGAAACACACACATTCTTCTGGTACTCTACTGTTGTTGTTGTTGTTGTTGCTGTTAAGTGCCATCAAGTTGTAGATGACTCATAGCAATCCTATGAACAAAAGACCTGAACACTTGTAACTAACATAATTTCTTTAAGTTCATAGAGTTTCTGGAGCCAAGCTCTTTCAGAAGTGGATGCCACTCCTGCTTCCAAACCTGTTTTAATCTGGGAGCTCCACCAAACACTGTCCACCATGGGAAACCATTATCACATTTGATATATCAGTGTCACAGTGTTTAGCATCACAGTAAGCATGAGTTACCTCTGTACAAGCTATAATGTCCCTAGGGCCACAGCCTGTTACAAATTTAGTTTGCATATCTGCAGTTCTGTGTTGACATACTCGTTCCAGTCGTTTGTTTTTTTTTTTTAATAATCTTCAGCAGGATCTTGCTTCTGTGTGATATTGTTCAATAATTTCCACACTCTTTGGGCCACCTTTTTTGGAATGGGTAGATCTCTTCTAGTCAGTTAGCCAGGTGGTTACTCTCCAGATTTCTTGGCACAACCTGGTGAACACGTCCTGCTGAGCAGCATCTGTTTGCTGAAATATGTCAAGTGGCATTCTGTCAATTCCTGGGGTCTTGTTTTTTCCCCAATTCCTTCAGAGCAGTCTGAAGTCCATCCTTTATCACCATTGCCTTTTGGTCATATGTTGTTTCATTAAATTCTTCTGTGTCAGCCA